CTTCTGATTAAAGTTTAGCTTAGTCACAGCCAATTTATTTTATTAAAAGTTCATTCTTGAAGTGTTAATTGTTTCTAAAGTTTAAAGAACTTAGCATCAATATCTTCGTAAATTCATGAAATTACAAATTAAGCGCAATAAGGTTTTTCTAACTCATTCCTCATTTAAAGTGTATAGAAACTGACTTCGTGATAAATCTTGCGTTTGCTGTAATATTACACGTACACATTTTCCTAGTAGGAAGCCATACAGCATATCTTTTTTCTTTTATGATGAAACATTTAATAAATCAATATCAATTTTCAATAGATCATGTGATCCTCTTCTATTATTTAAGGTTTTATGAGGAAACTGATACTGCTCATTGATTTTTCAAACAATTAATGTTTAATTTGATTCAAAGTTTGTGTATCCAAGAAAGAAAATACAGAGAAAGTTTCAAATAAAATAAAAGATTCATTAAAGAATTAATGTGATACTCAACTTTTGTCATTCTATCTGGGAAAAGTAATTACTTATATTCAATATAAAGGTCATTAGAATTCTTTACACTTATTTGATTATAAAAAATGCAGTCAAAGTAAGAAGTTGGACATTCAGAATCAATTATGAAATTTTTCGTAAATATTCTTATGAAATGTGAGATATGAAACTATTTGCAGACATTTCAGAAAAATGTCAATATTGTTATTAATGATGCAATTAAGTAAGTTATCTAAATGGAACTACGTAACGGCTGATGATTATGATTATTTTTGAACTATTCACAGTAAACCTTGAAAGAACGGGCAGAAGCAAGGGATTCTTTAACCCTTAACTCCTTCAGCTCAATAAAATTTCCCTTTCTTAAAGTTCTATCAAAAAAGATTTAAGAACAAAATTGGACCAAAAAAATTTTTTGAATTTTTCTGGCTACGCAACTGCCTAATAAATTTATAAAAGCCTGTAGTAACAAACCCAAGGCGTTATGACATATCCAAAATAATTGAAGCATTACGTCTATCCAACACTATTTTTGTTATAAATGAGGATATCCTTTTATATGAAAAAATAAAATTAACTTCTAACCCAATCTGGTCCTATAAATAATATCTTATAAATAACATAATGGACCAAATGAGACTCAGAAATTCCAAATTCCATCAAATATCTTTAAATGTCAATGTTTCATCCACATTGTAATAAAGTTGTCTCCATTTTAATAATTAATGGCTGGTAATTTATTCCACTTAATTTAAACAAATTACACGACGAATACATTTTTCCTTTCTTCCATCTTCTGTGAGTCTTTAAATTTTTGTTTTTTTCCCCTTCTGTGTTCAATGCGGTAATGTTCATATTTTGAGATGTATATTTAAACTCTTAGTGATTCATGATACAATATTTTCGAGTTGGAATTTCAAAGATAAAAAATTATTGCGTTGCTGGTTTGTCTGTATTTTGATTGAGGTTTAGCTAATGCTGTACTTTAAATTTAGGTATGCGAGAATAGTAACTTAAAGATCAATCAGAAATGATGTTAATTAATTAAAGACTTATGATGAGTTGTAATATTGAATTTCTTGCTTAACATCATGAAAGAATAAGGATTTGTAATTAATAACAAGATGTTTATTGTTCGATAATTAGAAACAAACTTTATATTTGTATGAAAGGGGTTAACATCTATACAAGGGGAAATAAAATAATTATAGTTGCATACATAATTTGAACAAGAAATGACGGTTAATGTATTATCAACAAGAATGATTCTTAACACAGCTAAAGGTTCACTTGCCTTATTTTCATCAGTAAGACTTAATTTGTTAACAAACCCAATCTTAGTTTCAACGCAATTTACTTCAAAAATCTAAAAACTATCTGCAATTGTTTACAAGGTCCATAAAAGTTAACTTTTATTGCTAATAAAGGTTCGAAATATTTTTCAGCAAAACATTTTAAATTTAAAGCTACAAAAGTAAACAAAAATCAGCAAAATAAAAAAAATCGATTAATTTTTGCTCCTTTTTATGTAGATTCACATTCAAATGGGCAGCAAGCGTGTTGTACTTTATAGATTAGATAAATATTTGCAACAAATTGTTGGCAAAATGAAATAAAATGTTCGAATATAAACAAAATTCCTTCATTTAAGATCGGGTTTCATTTTAGTGATGATTCCAATTGTGCTGTAGTCAAATATTTAATGTCTGACATTGGCACCAATATTTAAATCAGTCTTTATCAAAAATGCGCCTTAAGTTATAATTAAACAAACTCAAATTACATGCTCGAGTAAGGATTGCTAAAAATAAATCAGAGAGATTCTATTTAAAGTAAAAGACAGCACGTTTAGAATGGCAGAGCTTTATTTTTTTCTTGCTGACACAACGGGTTAAAGAATGGATAAATGGATGAATCAAGCAGATAAAAAGAATGAAACGTGTGGAATCTGCTAATGTTATGTCCTTATACTTTCAATGAAAACCACTCAATATTTCGCAATGTCAAGTGAAACGAATAGGAATAGAATATTGCAAGACTGGCATAATTCGATTCTATTTATATGATTTTTAAATGGATGCTGTTGACGCTCTTAGATTTTTCAAGGCATACAGAAATATGGATAAATTGGCGATTACAATACAGAAAGAGATTTTCGAAAGGAAGTTTTTATTGTTCATACCAACAAGCGTTACCCATCATGATATTCATTATTATACAGACGTGAAAGGATCAAATGGCATTGTAGGATGTTGAACTGTTTCTTGCGAGTTCAAGGACAAGGAAAAAAGAAACGAGGAACACAGATTTTTTTTCAAGCCAGGGGTGTACTCATAATGTTGGCTGCCAGAAGATACTGAGTAGATGCAGCAGTTCAGATAAAATTGCCACTGCTTTCTGCTCACATCTCACATAAATTTGAGTATTGTATGTCTCGGCATTTGAATCTATTGGAGGAAAATTATGAAAATTCGGATTATATTTTGACATATGCTGAAAGAGAAGTATTGAATCTAGAATAATGTATTGAAAAGGCAAAAGATTTACTTTTATATTTTTTTCTATTTCTTATGTAAGTTTTATTGATTTTATTTCACTTTTTTCTCATGATTCTTATGTCACGAATACTACATTGAACATTGACGAGTATGTTTTCAAATACAAACATCGATTTATAATTAATTATTAACTATTGTTATAGCATTACAGTCAAACCGCAATTCTTAGTGCTTATTCTTTCTATTCGGTAAAAAAAGTGTCAATTCTTTTAGATACTTGGTCAATTTTTTGCGGGTTCACTGTATCACAAAATTTTAATTGTTGATCTTTCGCATCTGTTTAACTTAGATTGTGATGAATGAAATCTGTTTGTGCTCTATGACTTGCAAAATGAAGTCAGCATTCAAATTTGAGTTCAACACAATCTAAATTAAATTCATTTTAATTTCATCAAAAGTGGAAAAATATTTTTTCCGAAAATAATTAAGCGCCAGAAAAACTCCAATTGCTGTCATGGGAAAACCACGGAATTTTTCATTTAATTAATTTTCCAATTTTGATTTTATTAACTAAATGCTTTACTTAATATCTACTCACAGCCATGCTTGAAATATAAAAAATTTCGTCAAGGAAAGAAAATTAATAAAAAAATGAAATTTTGTAGCTCATCAAAAATTCTTCTTTTCGTGCATTTCAAAAGAATTTAAATTAAAATGTCCTCCAAAAGCGAGGAAGTAAACATAAATCATAAGAAAAATGCTTTGCTTTGTAACTCCACATTAACATGTATGTTTTTCATAAAAATCATAAAATATATCATTAGTCTTAGCAAAACAGCGTCCGATTAAATTCATCATCAAGAATGTGAGAAAATGTAAGATTTTTATTTCGGAAAATTTTGGTTTATTTATTTGTTGTCACGCGTCTTGGCGCCACAATTTAAATTGTAGTATCTCGCAGAGAGATTTCTCCATCATTAACATCATTTCTTCTTTACAATGGCGACAAAATTAATAGGGAATCAACACGATACGAGTAAGGTGGACAAGATCACTGAATGATTATGGCGACTCAGCCTGATTTTACTTTTGTTTATATGATAATTCATGCTTGACAATTTGAAGTTCCTCTTTTTCTTAAAGAAACATGATCATCTGAATGTCGCAATAACTGTTCCCTAATATGTATTCGTTCGCCACTGTATGGCATTTCAATTTAAATTTTTGGAGACATGTTGATGATCTGAATGAGGAAAAATAATCTTTTATGTATGTCTGCATCTGATTAATGTGAAAAATACCTTGAATGATCATTAAGTCTGTGATCTATTTCATAATACACTTGTGTCTATGTATATGTCTATGTAGTGTGTAAGAGAGGAACGTCAAGGAAACATCATCTCGAAAATATCGTAAACAAAAAATTTTGACTTGGACGTGATTCATTTGGGTAAAGCTAGTTTAGTTTTTTTTTTTCATTTTCAACTTATTCGGGAAATGAAATCTATTTGTCATTGGAATTCCTTCGTGCTATTTTAACTGAATTGATGTTTTCAACATTGCCATTTGTTTTGTAAATTGATTATTTTCATTTGCTTCCCATTTCAAGGAGAACTAAGTATATTGAATCCAGATTTTGTTTTTTAAAATGAGTCAGAAAGAGCTAAAGATGAGGAAGTAGTTCTTGAACTCAATTCTCAAATTTTCTCACAAATTTTGATGGGGAATTAATGGCTGTTTTTGAAATGCAAGGTTTGATGAGCTTATTTTAGCTTTAATTTGTTAAAAGCTGACAATTTTTGAGTTCCACAGATAATGCAGAAAATAAGAAGAACGAAATTTCATTTCTATAATTTAAAAAATAAGCCAAATCAGTGCAGATTGCATCTTAATATTCAATAAAATCTTTCCTTTTGTTCAAATTCGATTAAATTTCAATCATCAAGATCAGAATATTTCGCATGGACTCAAAAAGAAAATCCATTCTTTAATTGCAATTTCTTACATGACTAAAATAGTGCGAAATCTACTCAATTAAAATTAATGAATAGCTATCTAAAACGATATTATTCATATGCTCAATTAATCCTTAAATTTCTAAAAAGGTTTGCTTTCAAAAGTTTTTCGTCTCAAATTTTATAAAAATTTTCATGCAAAAAATTTTTTTTTACCTAATGTTTCTTGTTTGACTTACAAACTAGCATAATAGCTTCATAATAAATAAGCTTAATACAATTAAGTTTAACTAATTTAATTTGCATTATCAGAACATTCATTTACACATGCACTCGGTCATAGTGAAGCAGCTGTTGTAAATGCCTGGCGACGCTTCAAAAGACGATTTTTATTTTGCAATTCACCTTTATTGCACACTTGAACGGTTCCTTGATTTACTAAAGGCTGTCTTGTACCATTATTTCCAATTAGCGTTCCTAATTATTTAATGAGAAGGAAAAAATTAAAATGAAAATTAGTCAAAGAGCTTATTAAAGTTCAAGCTGAAAAATCTTACCTATCATTTTGCTAACTGAGAATTTGCGAGGTTTAACAGGCCGTGCTCTAGATTCTATCAGTAATTTTTCAAAAACTTTATAGAGATTTGGTGAATTTTCTGCAACTGATACTTCGCAGAAACCAACACCATGTGAGGCTGCTAGTGATGCACCTTCTGTTTCTGGGATCTGGAAATAAAGAAATGCAAAAAATAAATTAAGTAAATGTTTTCAATAAGCTTAAAATGCAGGAAAATACAAAATCATGTCGGTTCAATACTCTTGTTATGTCCTTCAATAAAGAAGATAATCCAATAACCCTAGGACGAGCTGATGTAACCACAAATATGTATTTCATTCGCAAATGGGTCATTCATCAATGATGTCTCTACAAAATAGTATTTCTAGTCTGCCATAAAATATTAATCTATGTCTTAAAGGCAAACATCTTTTACGAACTATTATTACAGCAATGCATGATGGTCAGATGATTCCTTTTATTTGCCACCTTCGAATCAATTTACCGTACATTATGTCAATCAAAGTCAATGTATGAGTACAACGCATATACGCGAAAAAAGTTTAATGGACGTTCTTGACAGTGAAGTGATGTCAAAATTGGCAAAATTTAGTTTACGCCAAAAATTATTCCTTTTAGCATGCGTGACGCGTTGAAATTTATTGAGTACAGAAATCGAAGTTTATAGCACAATTGAAATGATTTTAATAAGGATATTAAGGTTCATTGTCCTATGAATCCACTAAAAACGCAATAAATTTATAATGAGGCAGACATAGAAAAAAAGCAAAATTTCGTGTTCTTATTGAAGAAAAGGAAGTAAAATAATTATTGAAAACATGTCGATGGCATTTAATTAAATATTTTCTACGTCTTTCTTGTCGACACGGATATTAATTGATGATATTTTATGACTTGTTAGAATGCATCCGTAAACTGATCGTTTGGAATTTTTCTCATTACAAAATTTTTCCACATGCACAGTCAGTACTTGTAATCTCATCCTTTCTTGCCTTAAAAAAAGACATAAAAAACTGTTCAATTTTTATTGAACGAATGGAAAATTTTTTAAACATCATCAACACATATCATGAATCTCATTAGCGGCATCACTGCAATTTATATGCATATTGCCTTATGGGAAATTTCCACTTCAATATATTATTAAAAACTTTACCAGTCAATTATTAAGTGGAATGAGACGTGAAGTCGGGATTATTTAAATACTGAATATTGTTGACATGATTCATATTCCTGCACTGCATCCTTTGTTCAATTTTCATCTTTCATCAAAGAAATTTAATTCATTAGCTTGAACTTACCTCTCTTAAATGATCCAAGTCTGCTTTATTTGCTACGAGATATACGGCTGGTCCATTCTGTAATTGTCGAAGCTCACCAAGTGACCGTGTTGCATATTCAAAGCTCAGTCTATCAACGATGCTATAAACAATAACACAAGCATCTGCCCATTGTATTTGCTCGATTGGAAAGCCATCGTCATCATCGACAGAGACATCAATTATTTCAACATCTAGGAGACCACTTTCGAGTGTCACAGTTTGCTTGTAAAGTAAATCGGTATTTGAACGATACTCGCCAATGTAGCGTCGAGTTAAATATCGGACGGTCAATGCTGCAATTAAAAATTAAAATGAAATAGAAATTTAATTAATTTGAATTCACTTTTTGAGATAAATCTTTCAAAATAAAGAAAGAAGTAAGGTAGACAGATTGTGTAAAGTAAAAGGGATTGTTGGCATTTGTTTTATTTTATTTGGCAATGATGCATGATATTTGAATAGACAATAAAAAAAGTTCTCGTGTTTCTCACACTGAACATAATGCGGAGTGCAGTGAATATTTGTTTCTTCTTTCGTTCCTAGACTGATTTATAATTGACAATGCCAAAGTTCAGACAACTTTTCCTTCTTCTTACTTTTCATATTTTTACAGCTTATGAAAATGCTTTCGTTGGCAATGATTCAATTTTATTGCTACTTTTTTTCACAATAGAAGTGCTTAATGATTATTTCGATTCCATCCTTCATCATTTTTTATTGTTCCAAATTTTTAAGGAATTTCAAAACATTTTATAACCTGATTTACTAGCTTTACACTAATGTCATTGCATGCCTAGCGCTTTCCCATCCCTCTTGAAAATTATAAAAATTATAGAAAATGTTTTACAAGCCAAGCAACCTTCACCTAAATGAACATAAGCTAGTCTGTTTGCTGTTGCCATTTACTCATCGTACTTTCCTTCATTCATGTTACAGTGATGAAAATCTATCAAATTAATTTGATTTTAATTTGTTGGCAAATAGCAGGCAAATGAAAAATGAATTTCAGTCTATTGTGTCTCATAGTTGATAGTCTCGCTAACAAGGCAAAGCTTTGCTCCAATAATTTTTTATAATTTAATAATGGAAGGCGATAGAATTGAAGAAAGGTCATGCAGTCTTCTAATATCCTGACTTAAAAAAATGAGCTTGCCCTCAATTTTGTTATCATTTATTTTAATAGCATTTGATTAGGTCGCGCATGAAACAATGCCGAATATAATAAAAACCTCAATTAATTATTAAAAATGTGCAAAACTCATTAAGTTCTTCTTTATCTAAATCGCACCCAATGGACAACCTCTCTTAAAGTCTAAAAAATATTCAACCTTTCTTACTTCCGATGAGCAATTTATAAAAGCCAACGGCTACAAATTATGGAAATTCTAACCTAAATTCCAGACAATATTCAGCATTTATTTTCTCGTTTAAATGATTAAACAAACATGATTGTACTTGGAATCCTTTTCAATAAAGACACACAAAAAATGTCTAAAGTAGGTTGACAGTGAGAAATGTGTTTGTAGTTCATTTTGGTATGACTGTCATATTAAGGTAAATAATATAAGTGAGTACGGGAAGTTGAAGCTGTAATGTAGCTGGAATCAGATAAAAAATATTTCATTTCCAACGCCCATGACAATCATTAAAATGATGAAAGTGGAAATAAAAGTTAGCAATGAAAATATAGTGGAACTAGGTCATCCAATATATATTATGAGAGATGACTTTTTGGTATGTCAGATAAAAAAAATTGGCTTTAGGAGCAATTCACATATATTTTATATTGTATTATAAAGGAACAAGAAGAATTGTAACTCACAAAAAAGGAGGTTATGTTTGGGTAATTTAAGGATATAACTTTTTTCATTGTTCAACAATCTCGAACATATTTTTTTATGAAGGTTAATAAAATTTTGCTTACCCGATTTTCCAACATTCATTTGTCCCAGCACTGCTATGCGTACTTTAGGTACGTTGCTTTTCTCTTCTGTTTTCATTTTTTGTATCTGTTTTGAGTTTCACAGGAGAGCAAAAATGCAATCTGAAATGAGCAAATAAATAAAAGTTGAGTCATTACTATCAAGCACTAGACAACAACAAAAAAGGCTGAAGCAATAAAAGTGAATATGAGCTGTGTTTGTAGAATGATAAAATCAATCAAATTGCTATTTTTAATGAATTAACATAATGGAACCGACGCAACTATAATGGAATATATTTAATCGAGCACGTGTAGGCAAAAAATGATGATGAAGGATAATGAACATCTTGAACGATATGTTTTATGATGATGTGGATATTGACTAATAAATTCCTATAAGCTTCTGACATTTATTACTATCATCATCTCATTCTGTAAAGGTTAACAATATTGATATTTCATTTCCTTCTAGAACTTATATTTCCTCTTAAGCTATGCAAATGAGCGTCGACATAATTAAGGAATTAATCTACGCCCAGTGCACTTCTTGCGTAGGACATTTTTAAAGTTTTTAAAGTCGCGTACATGCTGACATTGAGATCAAATATTTGTTTTTATCTAAATTAATCAAAACCATAGGAAATGAGGGAGGAGAGCAGGAGACATAGCCAGAAAATTGTTCATTTGAATTTTAGTCAAAACTATTTATATCGCTTTCGATGCTTAAAATTCAAAGCGATTAAAGAAATTGACGCAAACTGTGACTCGCGAATATATTCGAAATAAATTCATTATGACAGTGTTTGAGCGAGAATTGATGCTCGGCGGAATTTATTTCTTCTTCCAATTAAAGTTGAATAATAAGCACAACGGTGAATTAAAGGGAATTGCAATGAAAATATTGATTTTTCATGAAAATTTTATATCAACGATTATGAAAAAATAATATTAAATATTTATTTTTTTCCCATTCCTCTTCTTATTTCACATTAATGAATAAGAGGCGAGTACTTCGGGGAATCCATAGACAAACAAACAAACAAACCGGATTCGAAGAAGAATAGGCAAGGCATAATTGCATTGCTATTATAAACAGTTCTCTTATCAAATCATTTAATAATTCCTGTGCAATCATTAGCTCAACGGAAGTGGGAATTTTTAGGAAATCAAATATTATTTGAATGAATCAATAAATTGCTCTTCCGTTTCGGTCTTGGGGATTAATTCTAATGAACTTTAAACTCTCCCGAATAGCACAAGTCGGTTAATCGATTAGAAATCTGGCATCAAGCTGTTGTAACTTTGGCATGGTTCTGGATTCAAATCGAAGCCAGCATCATGTCAGAGTTATGTCAAGGGTGTGGAACTGAAGAATTACATTTTAATAATTTTTGATCAATTTTGATCATTTTTGATCATTTTTTGATCATTTAATCAGTACCACACCCTTGAGTTATGTCGGCTACGCACCAGATTTATATTCGATTAAACGACATGTGCTATTCGGGTCTGCTTCATTTGAATGAGGAACCTTTTTTCAGAAATTTTTAATGAGATTCAAAGAGATTTTTCTTCTTAAACTTTTATAGGAATTTTCAACCTTGCCAATGGCATTACGAGTTCATAAGCGAACAGCGATGAAAAATGGAAACATCTGTTGCTAATCAGAAAATGTTGTATGGCAAAAAAAGATGCTTTTTTCTCTCTTTTTTCGCATCTGATCAGCAATAATACTGATTTTTGTGAGTATTCATTTAATGTCTCTATTGATGGATATGTTGATGGATTTGCCATTTTGTGAATATGTGTTGAAATGTATCGATGGAAGTTATTAATAGCTGGATATTTGCGAAAAGTTGTAATCAATTAATTAGCTTGTTTACTGACTGGAAAATCTGATTATTCAAGCTGTATACTGCTGAATTTTTTAATTGTTACACGAATATTGTAGGTAAATGCATCTAAATTCTGATAATTTATGACAGCAGAAATGAATTAAATAATAAGCAACAATTCAACGCCTTCTCGAAAAAAAGAACCAAATGTCAATATAAATGCAAGATGACTTAATAGCATTTTTAAAGTCATAAATCCTTCAATCATTGACTTTTTCTATGCCAAATTAATGCACCGGAAATTTTATCTCAATTTCTTATTTTTTCTTCATTTTTTCACATTTTCTTCTCACTCATCCACGTGTTTGTTTTTCTTTCTTGAATAGAAGAGAAAAAATTGAATGAAGAGTGAAGCAGTGCCTCTTAGATACCGCTGTGAGTGAATTGATTTGTACTTGCATTCATTTGGCATGGCAATGCTGGGCATTAGTCAGCAAGACAATATTTTCTTAGAAAACTCGAAAATTGTTGGCTCATGTGTCCTTATTCCAATGCCATTATCTGGTCTGTTCTGTTATTCTCGTGCAGAGAATTAGTTTAGGTGGGTTGATCTTATTAGCCAAGCATGCTTAAAATGGGAATCTAATAATATGTCAAGTAATTGAACCGATTTTCCAGTTTATTCTATAACAGAACCAACAACTTTGTTGCTAAGTACTTAAAAGCATCACTCAATTATCAATATACGATAAAAGAGCATAAAGATTGAGATTGGATGAGAAAAAGAAATTGTCAACAGGCGCCAGAAATTTTAAAAGTTGTGAATGAATGAAAATAAAATCATTGGCATCTAACTTCTTCATATTATTCCTTCTATATTTGTAGGAAAGAAAATGAAAAAATCTGACTCGAGAGCATTTCTCCTTCCCATAAAATTATTTTACCGTCGTAAATAAATGTGGTGAATAACACCTCTAAGCGTCACATTTATAAACAACATGTCCAAATTAATATTGCAGGCATAAAATTACGATTATTTTGGTTCCTTTATTGCGGAAGTTTGTAAGGAAATTTACTCTCCTATTTCTTCATCTCCTATTTGTTCGTCATACAAGTGATTACGTAGATGAAATGTTGGCCATAAATCATAAATAAGTTTCTGAATCATCGATTTGAGTGGAAGGAATACATTCAATTGATAATATGCCAGATGTTCACATAATTTTCATAATGACGTAACAGTGATTTTTTCATCTCAATATATATATTTATTGTATCCTAATCAAAAACATTATTCAAATTTCCCAAAATGTTCACGTACACAAGGTTTACAATATAAAAGCAGCCCAAGCTGATCTTTCTTTTTATAAAATTTCTTCTTCTCAATTGAAAAATTGCATAATGAAGATTAAGGCCATTCGTTCAATAAAGGCACGAGTTGAGAGACAATAGAGAATGTAAACCTAATTATCTGCGACATTAGTCAATGGCTAAACACATTTTCTTCTTCAACATTAAACTTTAGTTGCCAGTCAGACTTGAGTATGCATCTTTAGGGAAATGACTCTTTTCAATAGGAAAAAAATGAAAGACATAAATCGTGAAGTTGCTGTGTGATGAAAGGTTTCAATGTTTAAACATTTTTATACTTGTAACTACTTAGGTTTTTAGACGAAATGAAGACATTTGCTCCTCCTCAACGATACATTTAATGTCACTTTATTTTTTCACGATGAGCTGCAGTCGTTAAAAGAAAAACAAACATAATGAAAATTGGTGCTGGTTACAAATCGACAACGAAGTCGACGACGATGAACATTTTTAAAATTCTTGTGCATTTATTTTTAGTTTTTCATCGTTCAAGTCAGAAAGAAAGAGAAAAATTTCTTTACAGCTTTTTTTTTTGCGGGGTGACTTATCTTTTTCTTTCATTCTGTTGTGAAGTATTTTCACTGCCTTGCTATTTATGCGTGTCTTCTTCTTCATCTCTTGTACATTCATTATTATTTATTTTCAAAAAAATTCCAGCTTATATACATTATAGAAGAAAGAAGAAGTCTTAGGCGTAGGAAATGACATTTCATATTTTATTATTGTTGTTCCTTGTTTTTTAGGTCAATGCGATAAGGAGACTTATTCATATTTTATTGGTGATTTTCGGTCAAGTTTTATGAGTTTCATGACTTTTTCTCTTCTTTTCAGAACCTTAATGCTTAAGTATTTAATGGCTGTTGTTACCAACTGCTGTTGAAATTAATTTATTGATTGCTTCTTGTCTCCTTCTTTTATTTTCAAATAAATGTGATAAACGAAAAGTTCACGTCAGCTCAAAAATGAAAAGGAAATGAAGACTTTTTCAAAGTAAACGATGACGTGATTTTGAGGCAAATTCTTGAACTTTTTTGTATATTTACGAATCGGATAGTCTTGAAAAATCTCGTGGTTCATGTCAGCATCAGCTTTTCGAGATTCCTTTAGAACAATTGCAATAAAATCTGCATCTTTATCCTGATAATCGTCCTTTGTTCTAGAAAAACAGTCTTTTATTGGCACTAAATAATGGCAAAAGATAAATAAGATCTTCTTCAGCTTGGCAACTTGAACTATTTTTGAGAAATATTGAGAAATAAATTTTAAAGGAATTCGCCAAGCAACAAAAGTCAATTTTCTTGCAAAATGCTTTCAAAAATTCATCTTATAGCTTTATTCAGAAAGCGAGACTCTCCTCATAAATGAAATTAATCTGCTTAATGTGTATTTTGATGTCGTAAATTTTATTGATCTTAATTTTTTTTTTCTCTATTTCGAAGCATTTAAGAGGTATTTCACGTTTCCCAATTTATATGGCATGCCATAGGATGTAAGGGAAGATAATTGGGAATATTTGCTGCTGCATTTCACCATACACGATGCACAATAATTTATGCATGCCACATTGAAATTGTATGTGGATATAAATAGCAATAGATTAAAAGAAATCATTCCCGAAAAGAAGAAGAATTAAAAAGAGACTAATTAAGGCACGGATTGTGTAAAGTCATTGAGAAATTTTCTTCTTATCTCTCAGTTCTCTTATTGAAGATTTATATTTACAACAACCGAACATATTGCATTAGCATGAAGCTTGAGAATAAACACACACACGCATGGGATAAATTGATCTATTGGCAAGCTTTACTCTTGTAGCGATAAAAGAGGAAATGAAGCTAAGAGTTTTGAGGAAGCTGTTAATTATCACTTTGCAGTGATTAACAAAGAAGATTTGCACAGATGAAATATTTTCATCAACACCTTTGCGTATTTGTTTTGATTAAAAATTAGATAACGAGAACAAAATGTGGGTAAATAGGATTTTATGTTAAGGTAATATTCATCTATGTTTATGTTAATCGATATCTGAGACTGTTCTAATTTTCTTAAACTAAATAATGAGAAAAAAATTCCATCGTCTGTGCAGCGCACTAAATACTTTTAAGAGGCACGTCCCATAATATAAATTTGACGACTGAAGTGTGTGCTGATGGATTTTCTTGTTAGCTAATGTTCTCGACACAGATTCACATGTCGCGACAATTCGAAACATTGTTTGTCTTTTTGGAGTCGCGTGTACAATAATTTTTATCTGGGTTAATTGTATTGAATTATTGTCAGATACAAAAAAGGCAAAAACTTTTTTTTTTCGACATTTATACCCGCATTTTAAGACATCTGGCAATAAATATTTGATTTCTTCATCGCATGGGAATTTTCTTTTCTCGCATTTTCTTTTGTTTTTCTCTCGACGTATAACTTGTGCGGAACAAAAATTTGCAAGATACCAATGAATCATTTACGCACATACAACTTGAAAGTTGATGCCTTGACATTTAGCTCTTTAACACTTTCCTAGTAGGATGGATATCACATATATCTTTGCTATCAAATTGATGATACACCCACACGCAAAAGTCAGTGTACGATAAGCAATCTTAAGTCTTGTTTTGTTTTGTTTTCGCTTTCTTCAAATAAAAGGATTGTTTTTCTTCTCTATTAGCGAATGCTTTTTCTCTCTTTGTTCTCATCAATTCCTGATGAGTTTATTTACCCTAATATCTCACATTGATTATGAACTTTTTGGTTATTAACTTTTATCTGACTTGAATTTTGGGATTTTGAAAGTTTTATGCGATTATGTGTGCTTATGGAAGAGTTATCAGTAAATGATATTTAGCCAATAAGATTGTTCACTTATTAGAACTTTTTTATTGGTTTTACAATTTTATTTCTTAGAGATTTCTGGTGATTTCAAAAAATTTGAAAATTTGCAAATTTTTAACATATCTATAGATTAAACTATAGATTAAATGAGATTGAAAAATTCATGATTCTCATTGAAAATAAATGAACAGCCCAGAAATGTTTTATAATTGTTCATTTAATGTGATTAATAATTTATCATCGATTCCGATTTATTTTTAGACTGATTAATCAATTATTTTTTAATTTGATAGCTGTCAGTCTGCATAATTAAATTCGTAATTGGTAATGTTTGAATTTGTTGCCTGCAGGCTTCAATAGACTTGTCTATCAAAAATTCTAGAAATTCTAAACCTTTAAAAATACATTTGAGATGCTAGAAAATTCTAGGCCATTTTTTATGATATGAAATCCTTAAAATGCATGATTTAAACAAAAACTATGACTCAACAGAATCCGTACAAGCCAAATGTTACAGCTCCTCTATGGAGGCGTATAAACTTTTCTACACGATTGTTTAAAACAGAAAATTCCTGTAGGTTTTTTTATACTTCATACATTTAATTTAATTGGCCTTTTTGATACCTAAATGAGCTAGCAAATGACCAGGAAACTTTAAACACTTGCTGGATGGATTTTTTGCTTCCTCGGCTTGATGTATTTCCGATTTAATCTTTTCAAAAATGAGGTAATTTTTTTTTGGAGGAGCTAAAATGTGCTGTGAAATTCCAAACAATATTTTTGACTATGGAATTTTAAGTGTAAATATTTCGTAAATTTTTCATCGTTTGAACATTTTTTTTTCTTTAAATAAATGCTTAACCATTCACAATTGATCTTTTAAGATTTTTTTTCTGTTGCCTTAAACATTTGAACTGACAGATTTTGACAAATATTTTGTTTTCACAGCAATTTGTCAGATGTTATTCATTCAAATGAACTTAAAACAATTTTATGTATAAATTAGAATTTTATGAATAAATTTGCACAGCTTTATGTCTGGTATTAACCTCCAAAATGTCAATAAAAATCGTACTTACTTGTTTATTTAAAATTATGGAAATTCCAGATCTGGTTTGTTTTCTCCAGAGGATATGAATTTAATTCTTTCCAAATGTAAATATTTTTCTTCACAAATTTATCAATTAGTGTCTATCGAAAAAAATTGCACTTGATTAAAATCATTGAGTATTTTGATATATTTTCTTAGTTCTTTTTTTTACAACTTGTTCGTCTTTATTACTTTGAATGTTTAACTTGATTTTTTAAACTTTCTGATGATTATTGTAAACATTTGAGCCGGTCTTAGTAAGATTTTTTTCTTCTTCCTACACTTTTAAAATATTCACACCAAAAAAATATTGAGTGAAGCACTGCTGATTTTTATTTTATTTTTTTCTTTTTTTCCTTTAATTTGTTTTCACTTTGAAATCTTGAAAATATTTTTCTTTTTTTTTTCTTCACAATTTTCTTTTCTAATTTTTTCTCTTCTCTATTTCTTTTTTAGAGCTTGTGAACAGTTAGAGGAGCATGAAGTAACTGACAATTTTCTTGATCGTATCGGTTGTTTTAAACCATAAATACAAAATATTGCCTTAATTTTCTCTCTCAATTTTTCTCATTTTCTTTTCGTAAATGCTCTCATTCAACAGATGATTTTTCGCATATTGAGCAGTGCGCATGCGAGCAATTTATCGCATGTTTATTCGCATATGTCTGTTGTTATTCAATAACTGTAACGTACAGGAAATTCCAGATCTTTATTGCTTCTTGTTATTCAGTATCTGACTTTTATGAATTTTTCTTTGAGGTTGATTGATGTAGGTTTAATAACTTTTCATTAGCATCCTTCATGGGTGGTAGAAGTGTAGTAAACTTATGACGTTAACGACCGTGACTTAAGGTATTGCGTTAAGTGTCGTTTCTAGGATAGAACTGATTATATAAAGCTTAATATTCATGTGCGCATTTTTAATCCTGTCCATGGAATCTAAAATCTTTTAATTGAAGCTTATCCTACATGACCAGCTCTTTTAATTATCTTCAATCCCTAAGAATCGATTTACACCAATTTTCTGCATTCCTTAACTACTTGTAAACAATTTTAACTATTATAAATCAAGAAAATCCGAGGTCTTGTTATTGTTGTTTAAATTTTTACGTCTTAAGTATTAAAAAATGGGAAGAATGAATAGCCCGTATTAAAAACAAGTTTTCTTCTTCCACAAAAATTTCCACGTGAAGATTTTTGTTAAATGAATTACTTTGGAATTACTCTCAAAACATTTGCTACTTCTTGTGTAAACTATAGTTCTGGTGAAAGATGTTATTCCATTGTTATTGTAATTATGATCTGAAAACTTCCTCACCTAGTGACTGAACTGATGATGAATATCGCAAAGAATTTAGTCTTGATTGTATGTGTAAATGTATTTTTATTGCTTGCGAATTCCAGACATATTATCATCATCATTATTCACATTTCTTTCTGAAATTCGCACCGCTTTTCTTTCTTATTAGCTTTGCGGGAAAAGTCAGTAAATCAAAATCAATTTTTTTTTAATTTTCCCGAGCGGCACAAATAGGATAGTGATCGACGGAGCCTCCACCAATTTTCTCTCCAGCTTACAAAACAATTATAGTTGAATCTTGACGGATTAGTGTAGGAAACTTTTTCATTTAAAATCTGAGGCAAATTCAATTCAAACCTTCCAAATACCTTCCATTTTATTCTCAAAAAATTTCTAGCTACGTCCCTGATCCTGACTATCCAATTTTAATACACTGTCTAAAATTATGGAAAAATTACAAGTCAAACTGATGCCTAAGAGGTGCCCTATATATTTGATGAATTCACTTAAATCACGAATTTATTTATTCACCGCACATCGAGAAGAATTCCTCAAAAAAAAAAAGCTTGAATCATGACTAATATGCAGTAGCAAGCGAAAATGATTTCGAAACAATGTAGAAAAAGAAGAAGTAGAAAAGTATCAACTGGGAATTGATGTTTTGATCTGAAAATTTCAAATATTCTTTATAAGAAGTTGATTTTCTCTCAAAACACGTTGCGAAACAAAGAAGTATGGAGCCATATATATTTTATTTAAATTCCTTTGGATCGTAATCATAGGAAATTTTACAATTCTTCACATAATAAATTTCACAATTGTTTGTTCCAATTCATTAAGGAGAGAGAGAAAAAAATATTAATAAAAGGTGTGAATCCGTCCAATGAGACATGTTCTACTTACACTAAATACAATTTTTTGTTTATATTTTGTCAAATTAATAAAAAATAAATCCGAAAAGAGAAAAAAACACGATGAAAGAATTTATATTTTTCTGTGGTTGAATAAATTGCGATTATAAAGCAGCGAAAATTTGGCGCCAGAAACGCGATCCAGTATTAAAAAAAATCTTTACATTTTTGTAGAGCACTTTCTATGTATGCTCTGGAATCGATGATTTCAAAGCGTAATAGTAAAGAAATTAATAATTTCGCAGAGCAAATAAATTTATCATCATGATCATTACTGTATACTTAATTTGTTTTATATTTAACTAAAGGAGTGAGATGGAATTGTGGATAAATATTGCGACATATTTTTATAGGTAACTATTTCCCACTTAATCGTCATCATCTTAATGCGTTGGATTGTATTTATGGAATAAAATGAGTTTAATTAACTTTCAGAATGAATCAGGCAAGATTTGATTTATTGAAGGTCGTGCGACTATCATAATTTGGAGTAGAATTTTGAATTGGAATTTCGTTTCAAAAACATTAAGAATCGCAATCCTAACCACAAAATTCGTTTTATTTGAACATTTATACAAAATCAGATCCATAAGAACCAAACTTTAAATCAATTCTGTACTTTAAATCAATTCTGTATAAATATAAATAAAATAAATTATAGAATAAAACTTAAATTCTTTCAAGGCTATTCACCGCTTTACAGATGAGGAAAAAACTTTTCACAAAAAAAATATTAACATGCAAAGATGCGCCAAAGAAATTTAAATTTATTATTATTTTCTGTATGAATCGCTGTAATTACTACAAATGACGACAATTTAAAGACAAATTTCCCATTTTTCATGCAATTTGTAGCAAATTTACACCCATGGTTCAAGGAAGTTTAAATGCAAAATGAAAAGCTATCGCTCATTTAGATTCTGTTGACTTTTGATATTTCATTTCAAACTTTTCCTTCACATTGCTGGTTATGGATTAAAATAACAATTGTACTTGGATTGTTGGCTGAGAGGAAAGAAAAACAATTCAAAGTATCTTGCTATTCAACCCTGAATATTTTTCTTTACTTACCCTCAAGATTTAGCCTTGAAAAAAAAAGGTTAAGGAAAAAATGTCAACATTGCTTTAAAGCGCTTAGTAAAGGCAATTAAATGAATTAAAGTTCCTGAATTCCGAATTGAATCAATTGAATAATTCCTAAGGAAATAGTAAATGAATACATTGCTGCAACAGGCATTGGAAATAGAAATACTGTCATCAACGATGAAGATAACTCTCCGGGAAAAAATGAAGAAGGACGAAGGTCTCAACTAATCTGGAGTTTGGTCATACAAAACAAGTAGAGTTACTGTGAACGATAAGCTGCAAACAGTAATCGCATAATATTGGCATCATTAGAAGAGTCAGGATTAAAATAGAAAATTCATAATGTCAAGTCATAATATGGTGAAATCCGTGAAATCTAAGGAAAAAGGTAGCTTAAATATTGCATGTCATCAACCTCTAAAGATCACTCCAAATTGCAATAATAAAAGATGTAAACATTTCATCATTTGCACTTTAACAAAGGTTACAGATCAATCTAAAAAGCTTTAGTTTAACTAATGAATCACGACGTGTCTAAGAGCTAGAAAAGGATTTTTACACTGTTGATAAATTTTCAAAACATTGATGTTATTGTAAAAGTTCACACATGAATGACATTCTTAAAAGAAAGGAACAAACAACAGAGTTAATCATTATTCTTCTTTGTCATATATGAAAGAGTTCCATCAAAATATGTCATAGTTCATTACTTGTTCCTGAATGAGAAAAAAAAAGACATAAAAAATGGAAGTACAAAAGTTTTTTGAACAGGAATGAATGCTACTGAATGGTATCATAGAATATATGTCATTTTCATAGATAATACATGAGCAGATGACTCTGTTGCCAGTTCCACTTTAAATTGTACATTATAAAAAAAAAATCTTGTCTTTTCCAATTGTATTGTGTGCCTTCAATTGTTCATTGTGCATCAGATGGCGAAATAAAGGAAGGGAAATAACAAAACTTCATATTGTGTCGTGCTGCTTTTGTTATTTTTTTTTACTGCAAATTCCCTCTCTCATCGATATCTAGAAGCTTCAGGAAGGCAATTATTGGATTTGATTGATTTTCGGATGACGTATTTAGTAGCATTAAAAAATAGGATAGAATAAATATCATTCAGCAGGTAATCTTAATCGCGGAATATCTATAAACCATAAAGACGTCAATTGTGTCTATTTTTCAGGACTTAAATGCCGATAAGTTTTATTTGCGTCTTTTTATAATATTCTTACTATTATTTAATAATTTACGTGAATCAAGTCATTGCGTGGAATATTAATAATATCCTTCCCGAGCGGCACAAGGTGGAGGGTGGTCTCCATATGGAATCCATATGAAAGCCACCTCCACTATGTGGGAAGTAAATGGAGGCTTATTTTTTCATCCTTCATATTGATTCCATTTGGATTCCATATGAACTCCGCTTTTTCTTAAATCAAATACCGAAAAACTCGTGCTTTTGAATTTTTAAAAGACAGAGGTCAGATCTTACTGTAATGGATTGAAATATTGTCGAAAAGCTTTACTGAATCATATTGCTTCATTTCAAGCTTTAAAAAAGCAAAAAAGGATAATTTTTGTGATTTTGTATGAAATTACATACTTCACAAGCGCATGCAGAAATCACTATTATATGGGGTCGTTTAATTTGTATGAAATTTTTTAATAATTTCTTATGTTTCTCACGCGTGTGATCGAGACTTAGAAATTGCTGTGGTTGCGACTTAATTAAATTAAGTTGTAAATTTTTCAATAGTGTTAGTGTACTTTAATTAAGTCCACTAATACAGCTACAAATCTTGATATAAAAATTGCGAAACATAGAAAAACACGTGGAAAATCGTACCAAAAATCCTTTGAAAAATACTTCCATTAAACCTCCGTTTGACTACCACAAATGGATCCTCCATCCTCCATCAAAACCTCTCAAATGACTTCCATTTGGTGTTAATAAATGCACGTCCCACGGAGGATTTTCGGAGCTTTGGCTCCGTCAAAGTTCCATGATAGTAAGGTTTTCGGATGATTTTAAAATGGAGGGTGGAACATGGAGGCTCCGTATAGCTTCCATATGGAAGGCAAATGGAGCCTTTGTGCCGCTCGGGCTTGTTTATTT